ATGATGAAGAGAAAGGGGGACAGAGGGTCCCCCTGTCTGATTCCCTAGTGGGATAGACAAATCCACTAACAGAGCCATTCACCTTAAAAGAGATTGAAGTTGAGGAGATGCACACCATGATGAGCTTTACAAAGTTTGGGTCAAAACCCATTTGGATCATAATTCTGTTTAGGCATTTCCACTCCAGTCTGTCAAAAGCCTTCATTAAATCAAGCTTTAGGGCCATGAAGTAGTTCCTTCCAGAGGAGTGCCTATTCAGGAAATGGAATGCTTCTTGGGCTATGATGACATTATTAGTGAGTTGTCTCCCTTTGATGAAAGCAAATTGGTGAATACTAACACAACAATCCAAGCAAACCATAAGTCTCTGAGCAATCACTTCAGAAAGGGTCTTGTAAACCACAGAACAAAGACTTATAGGTCTGAACTGAGAAAGGAATTCTGGTTTGGAGACTTTAGGGATCAGGGATAGAATTGTATGGTTCCAATATTTCAGCAAAGATCCAGAGTGAAAAAAAAACTGAGAATAGCCTCCATAATGTCAGATTTTATAGTGTTCCAGAAGAATTGATAAAAATAAAGCACTCATGCCATCTTCTCCTGGAGATTTGTCTGGGTGGAGAGAGAAGAGAGCAGCTTTTACCTCTTCTTCTGTCATAGGCTTCAGAAGGGTTTGATTCATATCAGCTGAGATTGTTTTTGGAATAAGGGAGAGAATAGATTCTCCATCCTAATTGCTTTCTGAAGTGAAAAGGTTTGAGTAGTATTCTGCAATATACTCTTTAATGTCATTCTGAGTAGTGAGTTCAATACCTCTTGTAGAAATGAGTCTGGTGATGGCATTAAGTTTCCTCTTTTGGAGGGTATAGGCATGAAAAAACTTGGTGTTGTCATCTCCTTCTTTAAGCCACCTCAGCCTTGATTTCTGTTGCCAATATATTTCTTCAAGAGTGTGGGCCTTTTTGAGATCAACTCTTGTCTTGTCCCATTGTGCCCAGTAGTCAATATCTTTATTATCTCTCAGCAATTCCATCTTCTTGGTAAGGGTGTCAATGTTTTGCTGATTTTTAGATTTGAGTTTAGAACTCCAGCTGAGAAGAGCCATTCTGATGTGTTTCACTTTCTCCTTGAGTCTGTAGAAGGGGGTGCCTTGAATGGTTGTCTGCCAAGCTGATTTCACAGTGTCTTGAAATCATTCCATTCCAATCCACCTCTTGTCAAAGTGGAACCTGGCTTGTTTTCTGATTTGTGATTATCCCAGGCTTAGCAGGAGCATTGAATGGTCAGAGGAGCTTCTGATCTTAGTAGTGATGACAGCATTTGGAAAGGTTTGATTCCAGCCCATTGATCCAAAGCCCCTGTCTAGTTTTTCCTCAACCATGTCTTCCTCTGACCTCAGACTGCACTAGGTATATTGATAGCCTTGCATAGACAGCTCCTCCATCTCCATATTATTTATGAAACTGTTAAAACCCAAGAGGCTATTGGTGTTGTTTGGAATTCCTCCTATCTTCTCCTCTAAAGAGCAGAGATCATTCCAATCCTCTATAGCAAACCATGAATCACCTCAATTGTTCTTGTTAAGCTCCAGTTCTGCCCATTGTTCCATTCTCCTCTGTTTGTTTGTACTCATGTAAACAAAAATACCCCATTGAGGTGCCAAAGAGTCCAGAGTGAATTCCACTGCAATGTAGAAGGATTTTTTGTGAATCTGAATGATAGTGACATTAGAATTCCAGCAAAGGAGCAATCCCCCACTTAAACCCAGAGGATCAACTGTAGAGAATCTATCTTCATATCCCAATTTCCTAGCAACAGATTCAACAAAAGCACAAGTCTTCTTAGTTTCAGAAAGAAAAAGAAAATTTGGATGGTGAGTCTTGATTGACTCTCTGATTTGGGAAATTGTAGAGGGCCCACCCAGCCCTCTACAATTCCACACGCAACTAACATTTAGACTTGGGGTGCCATTTGAGGCTGGCATCCCCCACCTGATCAACTGTAACTTTGAGTTTTTTTTCCTGTAGCCTGAGAATCTTCATGTTCTTCTGGTACCTGAGGAATTTCAGATGATTCATTTCTTAGTCTTTTAGGACAATGGACTTCCACAGGTACCAAATACGTATCAGTGTTCCTCTGCAGCCTGCCCTCTCTACTAAGAGCTCTCTTCCAGGTTTTCGGTTTGATGCTGACAGGGGTTGGATTTGTGGTATGCTGGTTTTTGATGGATAAGTGCAATGGAGGGGCTTGGATGGCTAGTTCAATTTCCATCATTTTGTCTCCCTGGGCTTGGGGTTGAGGAATAGTTACCAGTTCTAGAGCAGTTTTAATCTCTGGAGTGTCTGGTGTTGGTCTAGAAGATGGAGTGAGAAGGGTGGAGAGTTCTGGAACTGAGTTAGAAGCTTCCATGTCATGGGATGTATCAGTGGGGGGAAGATTTTGGTATTGAACAATTTGGTTACTGCCTACCAGATGATTGGAAGAGGTTGAAGGAGGTTCCTTAGGATCTGCAGCTGGGGTTCTATTAGAGTTAGAAGATGTTCTGGATCCTGAGTTGCTGATTTCCACCCAGGTTTGGCCTTCCACTGCCTTCATCCAATCTCCAAATTGCCCTTCTTTCAGACACTTAAATTTAATGTATGCGAATCTTTTCTTGCATCCTCTATCAAGGTGACCAATGAACCCGCAATAGTGGCACAAGTTAAGGAGCCTCTCATATCTAAATCCCACAATAACTGTTTCATCATCCAATCTGATAGAAGTGCATCTGGGAAGTGCTTCAGAGAGATCAATAGAGACCAACATCCGAATAATTCTCCTCCATGATTGCCAGAGCTAACCATAACCACATTATGAACCTCTTTGAAGAAATTCCCTATTTTGAGTCCAACCAATGTACTTAGCCAGTCAAGAGGAAGGTTAAGAACCTGAACCAAGAGCCTTAGCTCTTGATAAGCTGGGTGGTTGTTGGACAGGCCCCTTTCCCATTCCTTGAGTATGAGATATTGGTTCTCAAAGCTCCAATTTGTGCCTCTGGCTACTTTTTTGATATCCTCCTTGCTTTGAAATATGAATTGGAAGAAGTTGTACCCTAGCTCTTTTACTTCAATAGGCTGTTGTAGCCTCCATATTTGGCTCATAGATAGTTTGATACCAATCCAGCTGGCTTGGCGATCTCCGACCACTTTTCCGAACAGGCTCCGGTGGCATTCATCAACACTGACCTTAACATCCGTGTTGGCTGAATTTGTGATTGTACTTTCTTTTGCTGAAAGGGAGAAATCTTTGAGAAGTTTTGCAAGCTCATCGTCTTGCCCAATATAACTAGGATCTGACATAAGAGATGAACGAATAGAGGGAAATTAACGATAACAATGAGAAGCAACAAGGAAGGATGATTATGATCGAAAGGACCGAAATTGAAACTAGAAACGCTCCCAATTTGGAGAATCGCAAACCCTAAGCTCCCAATTTGGAGAAAACCCTAAGCTTCCAATTATTAGTCGTTTTATTTATGTAAAAATTAATCTATGCCAAACATTGCAACATTAAAAATCAAATCATCCAAATCAACTCATAATATTGTAAAACAACATTATTGTAGTAAATTACACTTAATAGACACAAATAATTTAAAGTATTCTAAGTTATTTATATGTATATAATATTAAAAATATAAGTTAGATAATTGTATTGTATTCTAAACATAGAGTATTATAAGTTATATTTATAAACTAAAATTATAAGTTAGATAATGGTATTATGTTTCAAAATTTGATCAATGGTCAAAATAAATAGTACATAACGATTTTATTGCATATGAATTACTATATTGATTGTATATAATGTAATAAGTAGTGTAATTTTTGTAATTTTGAGGGATTATGGCCAATTAATTAACTAAAAAATATTAAATTTATTATAACAATTTCTTATGCGATTTTAAGGAATTTTACTATTACATTAACCAAATTAATTTATTAAAAAAAACTTAATAAGATAAAAAAAATATAACATTCATTTCGGAATAAATAACTTGAACAAACATTTCTTATAATATATTTTTTTATGTACATGTAACTTTCGTATATCGTTTAAAGTGAAGATATTTATTACTTTTAATAATAACTATTATATGATACATTAAAAAAAATTATTATATAACGATTTTTGTCGTAATTAACCCAAAAAAAGTGCAAGAATAGATATTAACTGTTTTGTGTCCTTATCCAAAGTATATTAAAACTTCTATATATGTAAAAGAACATATATTTTTAGAAATTTAAATAATTGGGTTGATGTTGGGGATTAATTATAGGATTTACATCTGTGCAAATGCACAAGACCGATTATTAGTAATAATAATAATAATAATTTCCTGTCAAATAAAAATGAAAATAACTTATATCCAACCAAAATCGAATATAAATGTTTTGGAATTAATTTAATACTAGTTGTGGAACACGTGTACATCAAGACATTCATGTTGAAATATTCATATCTTGCTATTAAAATAGGGGGAAATGCTAAGGTCTCGTTACGAGATTGTTCAGTCAGTGTTTTTAACTATTGGATATACATGTGGATTATGCAGTGTACATAATCTACAGTAACAAATATTGGCTGAACCATTCCGTCAACAAGACTATAGTGGTTCCATAAAATAGGACGATCATTGTATATCAATTTCGGAAAACTTCACTTGCGTCAAAGTTTTTTCCACCACATAATCACACACACTTGTGTTTGTTAACCGGTGGTTATGTCACCTATAGGTGCCTTGCCGAATTTTGTACCATACAAATTATGCAATAATATTTCTTACATAATTGTACAAATAAATCATCAGGCGTTCGTGATAATTTACAAGAGGCCACTGGAATAGTGCCCATATTTTCTTGGATCTTATTTTGTACAACCACACGACTATTTTGACAGGATATCGTTAAATGGTTAACGAAAGCAAAATAGCTTCCCAAACCAAGCCCGCTTTGCAGTAATTAGGCTACGACTGGGTAGGAAGCACACGTGGCAACGCCTGCAGAAAAAATTTGGTGAATAAGAGCATTGTATTTTTTTTTAGTGGTTAAATAAAACCGTAGGCTAATCATTAGACCTACATACTATTTTCACAAAAATACATAATTCATTAGAAAATGTCATATATTAAAAAAAAAAATCATGAACAGAAGTATAATAAAGTACGGCGTTTGGTAGTATAAATATGCATTGTTGTTCATAGAGTATGACAAGTCGACTTGCCTAATGATTAGGTCGCCTCACACAAAAAAATTGTGATAAAAGAAAAAAAAAAAAAAAAAAAAAAAAAAAAAAAAAAAAAAAAAAAAAAAAAAAAAAAAAACTATTTAGTTATATTGAATACGAGTCTCACTCTTTTGTCCAAGGTAGACAAGAGTTAATATGTCTATCAACAGATATGACAGGACCTACAATGTGTGATTTGTATAAATTCTGGTATTAGAGCTCATTGAGTTGGGCCGGGCCAAGGGGTAATCAAGAAAACCCATTGTGTTGGGCCGGGCCAAGGGGTAATCAAGAAAACCCATTGTGTTGGGCCGGGCCAAGGAGTAATCAAGAAGACCCATTGTGTTGGGCCGGGCCAAGGAGTTAAGGTCTCGGTGGGACTTTGATTGAAGGAAAAATATTGGTTGGTATAACAATTAAACTTCTATATCAGTGAGGCATAAGGTTGGTTTTGGGATCTTGGTTATAAAAATATGGAAGTCTTTTGGTATTTGAGGGGATTATGAACTAATGATGATAATGAAATTAACAAAAAAAAAAAAAAAATTATGATAAATGAATATGAAGTTTTCAAATTTCCCTCTAGTCCCTAGTCCCTAAGCCCCACCCCACTTTTCTTCTTTGGAGTTTGCACAAAGTATCAACTATCAACAATGCGAAAATGGAACTATCGTGTAATTAAGTTTGACATATACAATGGGTTCACAAAGAACCAAAAAAGGGGACAAAACAAACTTACCACACATGTTCTTGCCCATCTCCATTTTGAAGTAGCCTTTGTCACCCCATTCAGCTCCCCATGAGTTCTTAATGAGCCAGTATGGGATACCATTTTCGATCCCATAACCCACGGCAAGAACAGCATGGTTCACATCCTGCAAATTTTTGCCCAGAAAGTGTGAGAGTCATCACTGTAGAGAATTATGACTTCATTTCTGGTTTTTTTTTTTTTTCCTACTAAAAGCCAAAAACGTTGCTCTTTCCATTTCAGGATGCAATTGTTGTTAAAAAATGCTGTCGTTAAATAAATTGATTTTGTAGTCACTAACTTGACCCGTAAAAGCTCGGGGTAATCTTTTCAAATCTCAAAGTCGTTGGAGATCTTGCTTCTATCACCTAGCGTAGTAACATAACTACATGCTTTATGTCATTAATGCAAAAGCAAAATTTGTTAATGTCTATCTCTAGCAATGATGAAGAAAAGGTAGGTCCAAGATGCCTAACTCTGATTATTATTATTCTAAATGAAAGTGAAGTGAGTTACACTGGATAGCAGTACGAACCAAATTGTGCAATTCCTTTACCCTCTTGTATCGTTTATGCATGTTTTACAGACACAGACACACATGTACATACATAAACGTATATTTCATTCAGTCTTTCTACAATTCATTCATTTTTCACCCCACCTAAGCAGTAACAAAAATAACTCACCATGGGGGAGCTGCCACACGTAGTGCTAGTGTAAACCCCTTCTTTGTACAACCGAAAACCATGAACCACCTCAAAAGCCACGCTCACAGGCCGAGAAAATGCCACAGCGTGCTTCAGCTCATCTTCAGCGCCCTGTGATTTCATAATCAAGTTTAGAAAAGAAAATGCACACACACACACGCACACATACATACATATCAAATTGTCAAATGTAGAGTCTTGTCAATTTTCTCGTGCGCCTGTGATGCCATAATATTATACAACAATCTACCCACCTCTTCAAAAGGAAACTCTTTTAGCTTAACTACAAGCACATAAGATGGACATAAAACAACTACGTGAATTATTCAACGGCTCTTCGAGGAGACATTTCACTAAAAAAGGAAAAAATAAGAAAAATAGGCACAAACTACTAGGACAAGCATCATACCAGGGTGATATTTACAGAGTCGAGCACCCGGACCCCAACATTTTCGGATGAGAATTTGCAGGTTCCATCCTTGGCAGTATATGGGTACGCATCCTCGGTCTCAAGCCCGCCATTATACTTGATGTATTCAAATGCCTGAGAGGGCAGTCCACCATTACAGCCGAAGTTGTTGAAAGCCCCAGCACAGTCCACAAGCTGCTGCTCGGACAGAGAGATACCCTTACCAAATGCTTGAGAGTATGCTGCCTCAAGAGCTCCAGTCGTGCTGAAAGTATATATTATACAAATATTGATCCAGTTTTATTTGGTGCGTATTAATAAATTCAATCAATGGTTAAGTATAAGGTTCGAATCTGGGCTCACCTGAATGTCCAACAAGATCCGCAGTGACCTTGATCTTTGACGGGGCTAACAATTCCAGTTGTTCTCCAGTCTTTCTGCAATCCATTCACAGTTGGGAAGTAATAGGATTATTGTTTTGAATATACCGAGACGATCACTTGTGTAGTTAAGTTCATTAAATGACCGTTTCACTACATATCTAGTTCTATCACAAGAAAGATTCAGAGATCTTGATAGTCTCAGTATCAATTTCAGCATCTTACTTATGATTGATAAGAAAAATTGTAAAGCGCTACCATGTGATTTATTAACATCTATATCTTGACAACTACTATTTACAGATGTCATTTGAGCTGCTGATTGGAAGACTTATTAACATCATGAAACAGGTAATGTTGAATCAGATCGATAAACAACTAATGTAAGAACAAGGTTATATGAAAGTACCGATTCTGGAAGTACGTCAGCAGTCAGCTTGTGATTGCCCCTCGTGGTAGCAGAGCAGTTTTGAGCTGCTCCCAAACGATGCTTACGAAACTCATCCCAAGTCATGTCAGCAAATGCTGTTCATTTTGAATTATTACAACACAATAAGCAAATAAATACATTGCAAGAGTAATTACAAGTTTAGATCTTTTTTAACTAATTCAGGTTCAGTATTTAGTTACGGAGTGAAAACTGATAATGACAGTTCTAAACAGCAATTAGTCTAGCCTGTAAGCTTGCTTAACATTTACTTCATATACATGCTAAAGCATGAAATGCACATATCGTTTTAGTACTAATAAACGTGGCTTAAGTTCATGACATAAAAAGAAAATACTGAAAATTTGTTCGAACCATGTACTACCATCTGGTCGTTGGTATCCGTAAAGAGACTTAGCTACATCCATCGTTTCAAAATTTCAAACAAATGAAGCTAGCTAAAATCATAAATGTCACCAAAAACTCACTCACAAGTCACAACCTCTTTCAAAATCAAGAACGTATGAGGATATTATTCGAAATACTAGTCGTCAAAGTATTATTAAGGCTTGTACTAAAAAGAAAGAAAGGAATGAAGCAAGGAATTTCTAAACCAATTAAACGCTCAATTCCTAAGAGCCAGTGATTTTCTGAATTGGAAACCTGACACAATCAATCAACACAACATACAGATTGTTAAACAATTGCAATCCATGACTAAGCTCCACAAAACAACAGTTAAAACACAAAAAAGAACGCAAGAAATAACAGCAAGGGTCGCTAAAATCAGCTGAGATAAAGTGAGCTGAAACGAAGAGCTATGGATTGATGCCTACACCATTGAAGCATAGATATAGATGAGCAGAAAATTACAGTTGACTCCCATAGAGTAAGATAGACCCTTCTTGTTATGCGATCTGATCATCTTCAAATTCTCTGTAAATATCTGGAATCTCCGCTGCACCTCCTCTGCACTCTCATACCTCTTCCCGTACCTTAAACAAGAGAAAATCTCGTCAAATAGACCAAAATCAGAAAACAATCAAAACCTCATATGTTTTTCAGCAAATGAACATAAAGGACCTGTGAGCAAATCGAGCGAAGGAGAGCGCGCGCCGCGAGCTTCCGACGATCCGTAGAGTAGAGCTCTCGAGCTCGTGCAGACCGTCGACGACGACTTGTCTGATCGGGTTTTCGTCGGCGAGGAACTCCGATCCGGCCCGTGCGCCGGCGATCAAGACCCCAACAGCGAGCAGGAGTAAGGCTCGGGCCATGGTTCTGAGTTTCTGGCTCCGGTGAGGGGAAGGGGAGGAACAGCGGCGGAGGCGATTGTGGGTCTGTTGAGGCGGGTTTTCGGTTGTTTAATAATAAAGCCATTTACTACGGCGGGGGCTTTCTGTAATATGATTGGGTAGTTGGGTTTTTTGTGGGTCCCACAGCAATTGTATTTGGACCTTTGATTGGCTGTAATTAGGTCCAGTTGTGCACCGGAACGTAGAGAATCTCGAGGTACGTATGCGGATGGGAGAAGGTGCTGATGACGTAGGAATAAAAATCAACGGCTATGATTATGAGGGAAATATATTTTTTTTCTTTCTACTTCTTTTTTTCCACTTTTTTTTACGAGTATTAATTATAAATTATAAATTTTAATAAAACATTATTATAATCAGATTTAAATACTTATCACAAATTAATATATATGTCTTTGATGATTTATAACAAAGTCAATTAGCTGCCAATATAATATTCATTTATCCATGTGCATCCAATCAAATTGATCATATTAAGCATTAAACAAACTTTACTATAGTGTCACATATATATATATATAGGTAAGATATCATATGAGAATGAAATATAGTGAAGGAAATAAAAATGATTCTGGATCATTGGATCCATTAAATTAATGGTGAGGATCAAGTCAAAATTTATTAAGTTATAGTCAAACACAGATGGCATTCTTGTAAATAATTATACATTGCATGGTTAATTATAAACATTATACCAATAAGTGAGGGTACATTTGACATTATACATTTATAGTGGACCCCACCACTAACCCTAATAATCTACCTATACTCTTTCACACACAAACACACACCTACACACACAAAAACGCAGACGACGCACACATTAAACACACACAAGCTTGGCAGAATCACCGGCAGACCTCAGCGCCGCCGCCGCCGCCGACGCGCCGCCGCAAGCTTCTCTGGTCATATCCCCGTTGAAACAGCCCGCCTCCGTCGATCTGGAGAATTCTTCGATTCCGGCACTGTGCGTGACCGGCGTGGTCGACCTCTCCCGGCGCCTGTGTGGTCGTCCTCGCCGGTGGCCGTTTATCATTGCCCCTCCGTCTCGTCGTGTCGCCACCGTCGTGGTTCCAGTTCCCCGCACAGGCGACGACACCCTGTCGAGGCCGAGCTGTCTTTTTTTTTTTCAATGTGCAAAGCACAGTCCATGGCGACGTTAGGCGCCGAGAGTTAAGGAAGGCGGAGGGCGACCTTAGCGGCGGTGACTGAACGCCGGGAGTGAGCTCCGGCGGAGGTGAACGAAAACAGAAGATTGAAAAATGTGATTTGGATTTGTGGGTTACATTTTGAGAATTTGATATGTTGTAGGGACTTGATTGTATTTTTTGAAGTTTCATTTATTTCAATTTAATACCTTGGGCAAATCATTAATATATCAAAAATTATATTATGTTATTATACATGGGGCAAATCAATTGATTATATACACAAAACAATATTTTAATTTGTTGGTTAATTGAAATAACTCAAAATAATTGAAAAAAAAATTATATTATTTAATATGAATTCATATTTAATATGTTTCGATTAAAAAAACTACATATTCAAATAAATGAAATATATTGTGCAATATAATAGTTATTAAGGTGCAATTTGTCCAATACTATAGTGCGCAGTGTCTGTATTATACATATTCAACCAACTGACCTTTTCTTAACACATCGAATTGGACATGAATATATCAGTTGATTTATTCGGTTTGGCTAACCGAATTATCCTAAACAATTTAAATAATTTGTTATTTATACGAATTTATATTTAATATGTTAATAATCTTATTTATTATTTTTATATTATTTTTGTAACACCTTATTTGTGTTGTTTTTATAAGGTGCAACATGATCTTATATAAGGTGCAATGAAACGTTGTATAAAGTGCAACCATACTGGGATTTTGGTCCGTTAACACACTTGTATTTTTGTGTGGGTAGATGATTGATGGATATAATTAAACTATTATGTAGAGTGCAACGTGATATTTTACAAAGTGCAACATACTATTTTATAAAGTGCAACATTCCGCTATATAAAGTGCATGAATTTATATCCGTTTATTTGGATTTATGTTTTGTCGGGAGCTATTGACGTTAATTGTGGAGTATGGTGATATTGTGCAACGTATTATTTTATAAAGTACAACGTATTATTTTATAAAGTGCAACGTTTTATATTTTTATAAAGTGCAACGTTTTGTTTTATAAAGTGCACTGTGTTGACATATAAAGTGCAATACTCTATATAATTACATATAAAATGTTTTTTTTTGAAGATTATATGTAGTAGATAAATAATTTATTACTTGTATAAAAAAATATATATTTATTTTTTTCAATGTTTTTATTTATTATTTTATATTATTCTTCTATAATATATTTATTTATTATTTGAGTTATATAAGTATAAATAATATATAGAATATAATTTTTTATATAGTTTGAAAAATTATAAATTTGACCATGGACCAAATTAAAATAAAATCAAAATTATTAAAATTGCACATGAATCCTTTAGATTTATCAAATTTACTAGAAATTGCAATAACACTAATCCAATAATTCAATATCTAATTTCTGAAATTGGGGATCTAAAATTGGGGCATAAGAACCGAACAATCCAATTCTCAAATTGGGGCCAAAATCTGCAATTTCAGCGCCGGCGGTACAGGCGGAGACCGAGGTCGAGAATCTGCTACCGAGGACGTTAATGGAGAGTCAGTAGTGGAGGTTGAGTCGGCGGCGGCGGACGTCGATGAACCGGAGCTGTTCGGCCGTGATGTTGAGGATGGATGACGATGTCGACGACGACGGTTGCGTCGCAACGAAAGTTCGCTCATTGCGTTAATGGCTTGTCCGGCGGCGGGTTTGCGGTGCGGTTGCGGTGGGGCTGCAACTGGTTTTCGGGAGGCGGAGCTGCACCTGGTTCTCGGGCGGCGAAGAGCGGTGAACGGCGACGGAACACGACTCCATGCTGCGGCGGGACTTTGTCGATGGTCGGAGCAATGGCCCGATCAGGCTGTGCGTGTGTGTGTGTGTGTGTGTGCGTTTGGTTTGTGTGTGTGTGTTTATGTGTATATGTGTGTGTGTGTGTGAGAGAGAGAGAGAGAGAGAGAGATGAATGTGTGTGTTTGGTCTGTGTGTGTGTGTTTGAGATAGAGATAAATCAGAAGTGATGGGTTTGATAGTGGTAGGTCCCTCCTAATGTATTG